TCATTAGTAATCGAAATCTCTTACACGCTAAATTTTTTGATCGTTTATATTTATTGTTGGTATATACAAACAAAAATTTAGCTTCATTTTGCAACCGTTATTCCTCGCGAAATGTACCTAAGTTTAAAAATCTGTTAAAACCATAAAACAAACGAAAGATTCGGGTTTAATTTTGGCTTGTACAAATAACAGATATTTATAGAAATCTTTCAAGTGCCAAGGGGTGCAAATTTTTTACTATTTTTTTTTGAAAATTTAACCAGTAATAAGGTGAAACGTTTACATTTCGCGTAAGTTTTATACCCAGATCCCCTTTTACTTGCAAACGTGTCTTTAGAGGGGATACAGGTCACAAAATAATGACCCCATTCGACTTTCAAATGAAGCATCGCTCATTGTATCACGACAATCCAGTGGTCGAACAAATTCGATATTTTTCGCCGAAAGATCTCTCTTTATAACAAACGTGGCTATCTCGATTGCGTGCGATGCAAAATTGTTTTATTCCAGGCTCACTCCTAACCGCGTCGCTGCTTCAAGGAGAATTATTTTCTCCTGTTTTTGTTCAAGTTCCAGAGACTCGGCGATTTCGCCTTCGTTTCTACCCGCGCCCGCCCCCTTTTTCTTCGCCACCATCTTGGCCCAGTTCGCGGTTGAAAAATGCAGACGGTTCAACCATGCTCCTGGGACGAGAGCTCGCTCGACGGTGTAAAAATGCGTTTTTTGCATGGAGCTCGGTTGAGGTTCGGCTTTGAGATCACATATCCTTCGAAAAATACACTTCGTATGTATTCCTATCGATCAATTTTCTTTCGCCATTCGACTACTCATTGCGAGTCCATAATTGGTCAAGTCAAGCGAAAATCTTATTATCAGACTGTGGATTTATGCGTTTGTCGTAAATGTGAATATGTAAAGAACAATGAAAATTTTCGGAAAAGTAAGTTTTACTTCTTTTTTGAGCCAACGAAAATTTTAATAAAGGATACAAATTTATGGCATACTTTTCGTATAGTTAATTCATTGTTACAACTCTAAATTTTTATTACTGTACTAAAATATTTGTTCAATTGATTTATCGCATTAATTTTTACTGGTTTTTACAATCCAGAGACAATCTTCCATTTTATTTTCTTCTGCACGTGTTTCTTCTACGCGGAACCTCTGATATAGTCCGAAAAAATTTTTCCGCGAAAAGTTAAAAAAAACATATTTGTCCTAGAAACAAACGTCTCCGTATTTCTATGGCCTTGTCCAAATAAAATTTAAAAATGAATCCAAATATAGTCTAAAAATTTGTGTGTAGAGAAAATTTAACAAGTTCGATCAAAGTGAAGTTCAACACACAATTTCATTGATATACTCTAAATTAACATGTTTTCCAGCAGCACATTACCCGAGGGCCCCTGATTAATATCTTTGCGTACGCTCTGACCCTCTTTTATGAGTCGTTGCTTTGGGGTGTTGCCGTTCTTTTGATCCCACGCTTCCCTCGAAGATACAAAATCTTATCGGGGCCAGCTTAATCTCGTTTCCTCATTTATTTCGTCGAATTGCAAATCTTTCTACTGACAAGAGCTCCTGTCGGTGTATATGTATATACATATGTCTACCATGCGTACTGATACCCCAATTTCATTTTAAAGAAGATGTACTTATATCTCGACCGAGAATCTGGGACGATTTTCAGGGACTTTCGACTCGAAAAACGAAACTCTTCCTCGTCTCATTTTCTGCTTATGGAAGACCAGGGACACAAACATAACAATTTGTCTTTTGGAGTCTATAATTCCTAAATTATGTGAAATTTTTCAAAAGTTCGAACGCGATCAGTAACCTTGATTATTGGATAAAATAATGAAACAAAGAAACTTAGAATATATTACACTATTTTTTCGAAATAAGATTTTCTCTAAAATTAATGTATCCAATTTGAAACAAAAAACAACTAATAGAAAAGATGCTTTAGAATGATATTTCTTTTATGAGTTCAAGTTCGCATCAACTTCTTTGTTATTAACGACCGCAGTTTTATTTTTTATATAGCCGTTTATAAAATAGTTATTGTCAACAACAGTTCAGTTAGATAATTACAGTAATGTTCCTTCAATTGCTCGGAATTAGGGACCCCCATGCGAGCAACTAGCGGACAGGGACATGATTCCTACCACTCGTGAATATCAATCGCGCCTCCGCAGCTGACGGTGGACTGTGGTCACATTGGCACCGATATCGGACGATTCGCCCGACGCTCGACGTCGTCTGAACGTTTCAACGTATCGGGGAACACTGCGTGGTCCGCAGTAACCAATCAGACCGGCCAACGTCTGACGAAAACAATCCGACGACCAATGCGGTGCCACTGGAACCACGGTCTTGGTATATTGCCGGAACAGAAAAGGACAGCGAGAATGAGCAAAATGTATTTTTGCTTCTTTCTTAATGAAACTTTTACTAACGTATTGGCGAGATTTTTCCGATTAAAATGATACCAAACACGGCATAATTTGGTTCATATTTACTCATGTAGAAAAACAGAATCCAGTGCTAGCGTCACGCACACTGTGGTAGTACAATATCGGTGAAGGTCGCTGAAACTTAAGCGATCGATATCGATACTGTGTTTAGTAGAATCTCGATGAGAGCCTCGAGCTCGAGCTACCGTGCTTTGTAGTTAGTAGCCTATCGATGTGAGTCAGAAGTGACTCGGCTCCGGCCGCCACGTCCAGTACTCGGAGGATTAACAACTTCCAGATGAGTAAATATGACCCAAATTATGTCGTGTTTGGTATCATTTTAATCAGAAAAATCTGAGTTCACCGATGAAAGTGTAAGATAGCAACAGCAGAAACTGTACGACACAGATATAAAACTGAAGAAATACAACAGACTTACGCGAGAGATGATTCCATGAATGACGTACATTTTTCAGCAACTGTGATGCAGGTGACCACGAACGGTCCCAATAAATCCAGCATTTCATCTTGTTTATTTCACCCGTGATATATTAACGTCAATATAGTTGTAAAAGTTATGTATACAGGGTGGGCCAGCTAAATGGGATCATTTAAATGTCTGTGTTGTTTATCGCTGTATGAAGAAAATTTCTCAGGAGAAAGTTTTTCTATTTCAAGGGACACATGTACCGATAGAAACAATTTTCTCTAAAGTTAATTTTTTTTCTGACATTTCAAGGTCATTTGTATTTTTTTAAATGTAACCCTGTATTTTTTTCGATATTCTTATAGCGCCTGACAAACAAATTCAACGGTCTCAATAACCGCACCGTTCTCATCATTTAATCTCGAGATATTTGCGTCTGAAGATAATCTATTTAAACATTCTTGATTAAATGGATATTCGACTTTCAGTAGTTTCATTTTCCGTCACTAGTTGGCGTATCGAAACTCTGACTTTCCCAATCAGACATAGACTAAGCATCTTGTGGAATGTTTGTGACAGTGTTTACCATAAATTACGAAGAGAAAAATGTGCAATTATTTTAATAAAAATTGCAAAGAGTATTTGGGATGCAATTATAAGTTAGAAAAAATTAATAGTAATTTGGAATAAATATTATCAGAATCAACGTGTCATTATTTCAACACTTCTAGAATAATTCTAAAAGGTAAATTTATTTATTTACCCAATTAACATTGCTTGGTTTATTTGTCCAATAAACGGTGCGTTAATATATTCAAATCAAACAGTTTACGCAACTTCAAGCTGATTGCAATTTGTCATGGTTAAATTACGATGCTAATGACTAATCATGACAATCCGACACAGTAGCCAATTCGCTGCTCCTTTATCAGATATTGATCACCAAAATTGCTGATACCTCTACGTGACAGTCATCACGCCTCGTAGATATGAATTTCTCGAATACACTGTAGAACCGATAATATCCACTGACGTCTGCAAGACTTTGTTATTTGCCTTTTTGAAGTTCTAACATAATAAAATTCTATTCATATATTTCGATTATATATATATTTGTAATAAACAAATCGCATATGTCTATTCATTAGATTTGCAATATTTTTCAAGAAACGAAGATGATCTTTAGTTTTGTAAATGGAATGCTACACTTTTTATTGTATATCATATGAAAATGTGCGTCAAAAATGTGTTTCAATTTCCACTGTGTGCGATATAATGGTCTTCAAGGTCATTCAATGTGAAGAATAAAGGAAATAGTTCGAACATTTCGGACCATTGTAGTTACTGGTATTTCCTATGGATAAGGCTACATTGCATGTTCAATGTAACTTCAATGTGTTAGAATGCATTTTTCAGCTGCATAAATTAGATTTTTGCTCTCGGGCAACATTATAATAAGCCATTAAAAATGTAATTCTTGGAGCTGAGAAATGCATTCTTGCACATGGAAGTCAAATTGAACATGCTTGTAGCCTTATCAATAAGAAAGTCTAGTGAATACAATGTTACGAAATATTCGTAATGTTTCTTTATTTCAAACCGTGAATCACACTGAAGACCATTGTATCGCACATGGTTGTATTTATCTTGACACACACTTCCAAATGAAGCATAAATATATAGCATTCCATTTACAAAGTTAAAGGACACCTTCGTGTTCCCGAAAAATATTGCGAATATAACAAATTTACATTACGCCATTATATTGATTAGCTAAAAAAACAGTAAAAATTTGTCCTCTTTTCACTCTTCCCGTATATTTACCATTTACGAGAAAAACGTTGGTTAGTAATTGCCAGAACTGTGTATATTCTGCTAATGGTAATAAACAATTATATTAATGAGAATTTGCTAGAAATCTCTTCCATTTGACCACAAAGCAAACGGAATAAAAATTACAGAACATAATTACGAAATACCTAATCGTGACGCGAAACATATTCAAATTACAGACAATTATTATAAAATTGCATCCAGGTGCGCCAAAACATTTCAGCGTTCCTGGAGTAACTGGGTAAGTTGAATGAAACGTTTGAAATATTAGTAAACGGCTGCGCTTAGGCATATGCGGTACTTACAGTCGCCGAGTGGATACGATCTAGATGGCTGCAGGTGTCCTTGGTTTCCATGGATCGGATGAATCTGGTGATAAGCCGACCTCGTGTCCTGGTAACCGTTCTGTCTCTGTCCTCGATAGTTTTGGATCGCGTACGCCCCGGAGAAGATCCTCGTGTACCTCAGATAGCATCCGTTCGGTATCTGCCATTGAAAATCGAATTAGGTGAATTCAACTTGGTGCCTCTCAGCTCCTGTTCGCGTTGGCTTGGAAGAGGACAGGCATACTTACCCCGTAAACAGTTGATGATATCGGCTGCGGTGGTCTACCGGGGCACATCAGCACCCTTCTTCTGTAGTATCGCGGCTAAACGGTGAAATAGGTTTAAGCAGGGGTTCTGATTGGTTTTCGTGGATCGCGACCTGACTGGTTCGATTTAACACGTTTAGGGTACTAGGCAGATTTGGTAAATCGTGTAATTTGTAGGAATTAATTATAAGGAAATGAATACAACAAATTGTGTAGGAGCGTTGGAAAAATGAGAGGGCCCAAGCGGGATTCGAACTCACGACCCCCGGCACCGAAAGCAGAGACTCTACCCACTGCTCCATGGAACCCTCCTATTTTCCCAAGATGTTATTTGCTCCTTTGTTGGGTATGGAGTTCCCGATCCCACAATTGTGTCTAGTACGTTTGGGTAATATTTATTAATACCGTCAATATTAACACTAAACCTACGGACCCTTCCAAAAAGGCAGGATTTAGAACGGCCGAACTGGTCGCGGTAGGTTTTGTGTTAAAGTATCGTAAGGTATCGAAATTTTAGGTACTTGGTATCGATTCTCGACGTCGATACATTTTCAAGCGATACCAAATCAACACAAATACTTGTTAGTGACAACGTATTTTAACTAGAGCTGTGACTTTATAAAATACCCGGGTACCCGGGTATCCATTAGGTATCCGAATATATGAGACAGTCGAGAATTTCGATTCGGGAGTCTATCACAGCCGCGTATATTGCGCTACTTACAATTAGCACTCACGTTACATTGCAAAAACATGACTTACTCATTATTACACGACTACTGATTACAAAAGAATATTGCAATATTATTTTCCAAATATTTATTAGGTATAAATGTTTATAAGGTATTCAAGGGTTCGAAAGATATTCAAGTGTAATCGTAACGTGCAGGTAATATCATTTTTAATTTTTCGCAGTTTATTCCGTTCATTGCCGATATCGATCGAACATGGCTGAAAAATGATCGACTCTCGAATCAAGATTCTCGATTATCTCGTACATTCTGATATTTCATGGATACCCGGGTACCTGGGTAATTTTTGTTCACCCGGGTATCTCACGGGTACCCGAGTACCCGGGTATCTTCGCTTGAGCGTGGAATATACATGTGCTATAATATTGAAAAACATTTGCGCGAATATTTCAATAGTAGCTACGCCGCGTAAAAGAATTTATATTGTAGCTGATTATTACCGAAATAATTAATGAAAACGATTGAAATAAATGCTCCTTTAATTCACAAATAGATATGAAGAATTAAACTTTACTGTAATTAGTCTCTACAAAACAAGTTTTAAATATAGAGTATTAATAAATATGTGGGTCATTTTCACAGAGTGAATTCTAAATGCCAAAGTAAGACGAAAATCAAGAATGATGAAATTTGAGAAAATATTAATTGTTGAAAATGCCGGAAAAGTACACGTGAAATACGTCTGACGTGATGGGTTATACTACTTCCCAGATGGCACTGTGCATCGAAAGGATGTCCATTTCATGTCCAGTTTATCTCCGAATGTCCTACGTCCATTTTGGACATCCCTAGGATGTTCGTAGGACTTAAATTTCGAATGATCCAGAAATGTCTGTCTCGGTAGTTCTACGGATGTTTTCAAGACTTAAATTTCACATGTTCTAGGCATGTCCGTTTCTTACGTTTTACGAATGATCGAAGGATTTATATTTCGGATGGTTTCATTTAGTAATTATGGCTCAATTTCATTCCGTGTAAGGTGATGGAACCTCATGATCAAGGTGTCATTCTTTAGAGAACCAATAGAGAAGTGTAACGACACAAATGGTTTTGTGCAGAAATCTAAGGAAATTTTAACAAATTCTTTTTTTTCTTAAACTGTCTCTAACCAACACACAATCAGTATTTTGCTTTGAAAATAAAGATAAAATATTTATAATTTTAATAGAAATAATGTCTGTGTACCTATGTAAAAAAAAAGGAGTCTTGAATATTCGTTCTGGGGATAATCAACGTGAACCGTGTGGAAAAGATCTGCATGATTTGGTGGTCCGATGATACACCAATTATGCCATTAGCGGCACGTCTATTATACATGCAGATGATTGAGCGTTTAATTAATAGACATTCGAATATTCGATTGGTTGGTTAATTGATTTTCCATTAATGGGGATGTTGCTGTGCTAATAAAACCATACTGCAGACGTTAATTGATTAAATCGGACATTAGTTATCACGATCTTTTATCACAGAATTATATACAGGGTGAGTCATTAAATTAGATCCCCGTGAATATTATCAAAATCGTTGATGATACGAAAAATTATTTCAGCGAAAAGTTAAATGAATCAGAGGGACTAACAAATAGTTTGATGCAAATAATAATTGGTGTTCTTAAATTGTATGCATTCTGTAAACACTGTAATTACCGAACCTCGATTGGAGAATGTTTTGCTTATTAGAAAAAGCTTCAGATGGCACAGAAGTGATCTTCTGTTCGGGAAACATCTGAAAAACTATGAAACGCGAAGTTTCATCATTTCATTCAGATAACTGTGTTATGATACATTAAATTCATATTGGAAAGGTGACGACATTATGGGTTTGATACCATATTGTTTTCTTGTATATATAGCGTAGTCGAATAATCACAAATAGAAATCAGTAATTAATGGAGACAGAAGAGCACACTACTGTCATAGTTTCTGACCAGCACAACAAGCAATGTAGGGTATATTTAATTTACGAATTGTGGTGGACTGAAAATTATGCGATAATTAAGAATTTGTTATTCAAAGAAACACATTTGTTATAGGAAACTTAAAAAAGTTTGATAACTCTCATCATCAACGATTGCCGTGCCAGTGATCGCGTTAACTAAAATCCATAGCTGGTTACCGCAGGATTCTTTCGAAATTGAAAGAAATTTATACATTACATAACCAAATACGAAAAATATCAAATTTATAAATACGGGAATATTGAAATTTAAAAAACTTTTAAAATTCATTAAATATATTTTCAAGACAATATAATGAAATACAATTACATAGATATAAAATTTAATATCTTATTTTTGTATGATTATTTGTGAAGCATTTGTCATTACGTAATGGAATCCTACATGATTTGCAAATAAAGGACCTATACTTGAAGATTTCCTATACTTTGAAAACGGAAACTATAAAATACGTAAACAAATTCGCTTGATCCTCGTTTAAAAATTATGTTTCACTTCTTTCAAACGCTGATTTTTATGAACTTAAAATCGAAATACAGTAGACTCGCGTTAAAGTAGCGGTATGGTGCGCTCTTAAGGCGAGTTTTTCTGGAAACGCTACTTCAACATGAGCCAATGGGTACGCAGGATCTCATAGCAGTTCGGTAGATTCACCAATTGGTTACAGATGGCGACCGATACTGGGATACTCGCACCTGTGTGAGTAATGCGTGTGAGCTGAGGCGTTCCTACCGCTACTTTACCGCGAGTCTACTGTATTATTAAGTAGGTGCTAGAGTCGTAAAAATGAATTTTAAAGTCATTTGCCTGCTATAAATATAAAATGACAGCCAGTTATAAATTTGAAAATCACGTAAGACTAGATCACCAGTAGTTGATTATACAAGTAGATTATAAAATGACGTAATATACGTCAATGGTGACCAGTCATAGTCACAGATTTTTAAACGACGTAAAACTACGTAAACGGTAACCAGTCACAGATTTTAAGATGACACCAAAACCATACCAGTGGCGGCGAAAGTGTTAAATTAGTGTAGACCTTTAAAGATCTGATCCCACGTAGTCATATGTTAGGATTGCAAAGGTCGTGATCGTTGAGAAAGGGGTCTTTAAATTACCGCAGCAGTACGGGGAAGAAAGCGTGGAATTTGTAGGGCAAGTGGGGACACCCGTATTTCCCTCGCGTTTAAAACCGGGAAACAGGTATTTCCATTACAAGAAGCTATCGTTTTTTCATGCAGGAAAGTCAGGGTCCGGCTATAAAGTTGTCTGTCAGCGAGCGCGCCGCGGAATCTCCCGCCAGTCGTAAATCGCGCGATAAACTGTAAGCAAGCGGGGGAAACGTTTCGAAATTTTCTCGACGGAAACCTTCGAACATGCAACACCATCATCCTCGAAAGCTTTCAGAATTTTTCACCGCCCCGCTGGCCAGGAAAAGATAGAGGAGTGCAAAGATCACGGGACCATGCGCGGATTTCCGGACGGCGGAAAGTGCGCTTGTATTCGTCACTGTCGAATTATGCAATAGCAGGAGAACTTTAGACGCGCTATTTTTGAAAGCCTGGTCGCGGCCCACTTCGTCTCCCAGTATATCCACGGGAATAAATTTTCCATAAAATCTGGTGTTGCATCCGAGCGAATAGAATGCACTTTAATATAGATGGAATTTTGATTTTTAATGGCTGATCGAAAACGAGTTTTGCGAGATGAAATGAATTATTGAATTTACCGAACTTGAGGAATTTTTGAAACGTACTTGGACGTATGGAGGCCTCGAAAATGTGAGTGGTGTTAATCAATAAATTGAGATTTTTTAAGTTTAGACAACATCTTGCAAGCCCCCCCCCCCTTTTTCCCCTAAAGTGATATATGTATGACTATATTTGGATCAGAGTTGGGCACAATTTTAGTCGAATAAAACATAGGGAAAAGCATCAGTATCTATGATTGGCATCCTGACGTTTAAACAATTAATGAGATTAAGTAATTGTTTTTCTAAGCGTCCGTTCATTCAGAAAAGAAATATTTGCATTATACAAAATGGAATATTCACATTCAATTAAAGTAAATATTTATAATAAGGAAGCCACATTCGATTTCTATAATTTTTCAGTATGTTCTCAAAGTCATCACCCTGAGTAGTGTTGTGGAGGTTTTATGTAGGGGTCGCCGTTTGTAACAAAGTTATTATCAAAAGAAGTTTTGGCAGGTAATTATTTAGATGTTTAACCTTCTCACCGATTTTGATGCAATGAAGTCAAAAACACAAAATGTTTTTTCAAATTTACAAACAAAAACAAAGTATCATCTCCTAAAACAATAGACTCTGGCTTTTCAGTCCAGTTCAACAAATAGAAACTCGTCTATTGTTAAAAAAAAGTTACTTTTTTCCTTGAATTGTCTCCAACCAACTCCAATCAGTATAATGCTTCAGACTTGGTTAGACACAGTTCAAGAAAAAACGTCATTCATAGTTGGTTAGAGACAATTTAAGAAACTGGTATCATTATTTTCATAATAATATTTTAATAAATAACTTTTGATAACTCAAACAATCTGCGGGTTACTCAGGACAGATCATGGGTCATTTTACTTATCAGTACTACTAAAGTACGGTATTAAACTTTTTTTGATAATAACTTTTTGTAGAAACGGCGGCATCCAACTAAAACCTTCATAATACAACTGAGGGTGATGAAGTTTATAACATATTAAAAGGTCATCAAACCCAGTGGTGACTCCTTTATTGTAATTTACCTCAATTAATTAAGAATAGCGAAACACATTCTTATCTTTTATTCATTATTCGAAACTCTTTATCCAGATATTAAATCCCTCCATCTCTGATCTGTATGCACCGTTTATATTCATTGTGAGTATGATCACTATGGGGCTGATGACATCATACTTGAGTATGATGATTATACTGGGTATACAGGTATAATTATACTCGGATAATTATACTGAAATAGATTAATATCAGTTCATAATCAGATGATATACTCGACAATTATGTACAAAGTAGTATGAAGTTGGACTATTCTCCTTTGATGTTAACTACAATAAAATTCATCATAAATTAACTTATACCACTAATACTTTCGAGAGCTCCGTTAAGGATAAGAGTTATTCTAGTATATGTATAATGAAACGATGAAAATTTATTATTTACATATCAAAATGATTTTTATCGCCTTATTCTCTTGTGTATAAGGGGGAAAATATTATTTTACACAATTTTATAGAAACTAATACAAATGAGATCAAATGGACTGTGGAAGTTACTATGTATAACAAACTTTTGAAACATGTAAATAAAGTAATTATGAGACAATATACATGTACAAGTATATACTGTCTAAAGAAGTGTTGATATTTTAGTATGTATATATTAAAATTTCAATCATTTTTATATTTTATAAGTAATTTCGAGTAATTCCGAGTAATTTCAAGTAATTCCGACTCATTCCGAGTAATTGCAAGTAACTCCGAGTAACTTCGAGTAACTTCGATTAACTCTGAGTAACACTGAATAGTTCTAAATAATTCTGAATACTTTTGAGTAATTCTGAATAATTCTGAATAATTCTGAATGTTTATATACACATTGTATGAACACTACCCATCGAAACTGTACCAGGCTTCACAGTTACTGAAAGAGTTAAACATTATTTTGTAACAATTTAATGTAACTTATGCAAATAACCATATAAATAATTTTCACTCAATTTTGTTGAATATACAAGGTTCATTTCATCTTTGTAGACTAATATTTTCACTTATAAATATTTGTTAGCTCTAGTTTGATAGTTTGGGTCGTTAGTGTATCTGACAGTATACTATTTCAATCATTTTTTCAAAGTACAGAGTGTGGCACGTAAATAATATATCAACTCCTTATCGACATAATGAAAAAAATTGTTTAAAGCAAAGTTAAACTGTTCAAAGGGGAGAACAAAATGGTATAAAGAAGAATCACTTCAAAATAATTTTTTTCTAGATTTCAAAGCTGCTCAAAGGAATCTGCCAAAGAAGAACTTATCGAAATCATTTCAACGACCATCAAACACTATACATCAAACACTAATGTAAAAGAACCCACTTCGAATTAAATCCCACAAATTGTTGTGTGGTATTAAAATTGTATGTTTCCTAAGAATTCTGCAGTTACCAATCACTGCAATAGCTAATAATATAAGTAATCATGTTACAACAATATATTCCTTTGATGTAACAAATAAGCATTTGATTCTTCAACTGTTTTATAACCAGACCTACAAGTATGCAGATACGAAATTCGCAATTAACTTCTACATACTGCAACAGTACCTAAGTATACAGGGTGTCCCGCAAGATATAGTACTATCGAACAAAGTGTGCTTTCCCGTGGAAAATAAATTGAAAATTAAGAATAAAATTATTCAAAATAAGACGTTATTTTCGAGAGAATCGATTTTAAAAATGAACGCTGTACATTTACAAAATGCACGATAGATTGCTGCGAAACAAATATCGTGTCCACCGCAATCAAACTTAACGCATTCGACACCAAGGTATATTACGTCGTTACTTAGGGATAAAATACACGCACAAACTTGGTACATTTTGAAAATCGATAATCTCGAAAATGAGGTCCATATTTAAAAATAATTATATTCTTCAATATCGATTAATTTTTTCATAGAGAAACACACTTTTCTCAAGAGATTTTGCGGGATATTCTGTGTAATGGTATCAATTGAAAATGTACCAAAGGGACGTACAGAAAATTGTCAAGTCGGTCCCGAAACAGCGAAGTCTGCGATAATTGTGATTCTATTGGGATAACTACAAACAGGGTATAACGTTGAATCTCCGTAGTGGTCGAGAATAAGGAAGGAATGGCGGGAGGGGTCGGAGGATACTAGCGAAATGGGCAAAACAAAGTTATGTTTCCCAATGAAAGAGGAACCAGCCAGGATTTCATCGTTTTATAAAGGCAATCCGGGGGTTCCACGAAACCCGGGCCAGCGATTCCTTTCAGCTCACCTCGGAATCTCGACGATGCTCGGATTCTGAAAATGTACGGGACACCAGATAAGTTCGATTAATCGTTTTCTATCGCGGCCGATCGATGTTATCGAGGCGCCGATCTACCGGACCCGACGACAGCATAGTTCTTTTCTTATCACAGCCGACTCGCAGATTAGGCGTGATTCCCATCGAATGTTTTATGGAGGAACTGCGCCGTCCGTGAATCCATTACAGCGGAATAATTAGTTCAAGTCAATTAAATATCAAGCTCATCGAGCGAAATTGTTTTTATCCGACGAATAATTTTTGTTGTTTCATCCATCTTTGTGTGTCTAGTTGTACGAATTTGGTATACGTAAATTATAATTAAAGCGTTCCTATACAATGAATAATTGTTCTAATTATACTGGTCCTTATGTGTTTTTTTTTACGCGCTTTGTATGACAATTAAGATTTCCACGTAGGTGTGCTTATTTTTTTAAAAATCGTCTGAAGAGGAACGTACATACATAGAATTATGTCTTGTTCAGAAATAGATAAAACGTGTAGAATAAATTAAGTGTATACAAACATTTGTTTTTATAGGGGACTTAATGCAATGTTCATCATTTCTACATATCCAGACTTGTCTAAAAATCCATTCAACAGTTTGAAGGTAGCAATTGTTTCTCGTTGAATGTTCCTCTCTTTGATTTGCCATTTGGTAAGTGTGACTTAATATTAGGTCGAGTCATAATTAACTTATTTTGCTTCCATTAAATAACAAAGTTATATTAATTTATTATGTATTCACCACTGTTATGTACGACCTTCTCCCATTTTCCTGGCAGCTTATCAATTCCTTCCTTGTAAAATGTGGTTCGTTTGGACTGGAAAACATTTTCGACTGACTTGCTCTTCAGAATTGAAGGTTTTTCCATTCAAAAAGTTTTGCAAAAAGTCCTTGCTGTATGTGGTCGCGCATTGTCGTGTAAAAGAATGATGGTATTGCGATTAACGAGTGCAGGACGCTTTTCATAGTTTCTCTTTCACTCTTTGCAGCTGCTGAACGTATGTATCCGCAGTAATCGTTAAATTTGACTTCAAAAAACTCTTGAATTATACCTCGAGAATCCCACCATACACACAATAAAATCTTTTTTCCATGGATATTTGCTTTCGGATCTGGTAGGAGTGGTTGATCCTCATCAAGCCACTGTCTTTTACGGACGATATTCTCATAGGTAACCCATTTTTCATCGCCTTTTATAATCCTGTCTAAAAAAGGCTCGATTTTTACTCGTGATAGCAGACTTGTGGCGATTGACATGCGATTTTCTTTATTTCGTTCACCCATACTCCTAACTTGCTGACTTTCCCTAATTTCTCCAGGTGCCTATATCTCTTGTTGATTGACGTGGATTTTGCTCCAAACCTTTAAAAGGTTGTCGTCAAGGTCGGAAGGACGTCCTGCCCTCGATTCGTTCTTTAAAGTCGTATCTCCAGAACGGAATTTAGAAAACCAATTTCTAACTGTCCGATCGCTTATTAGACCTTCACCGTATAAACTGCATATTTTTTCAGCTGTCGCCTTAGCACTATTGCCTTGTTTAAATTCTCAAAGCATCAAATTACGAATATGCACTTTTTCACTCTCCATTTTAGAGGTAATGAACAACAGTTTAATGAAACGTGCACCGCACAAAACAGTTATTAGAAGACTAACTGAACCCTTATTTATTTAGTGTAAGCAAAAACTCGTTTGTCCCGGTGACTTATAACAGGTATTTATGACTCGACCTAATATATTCTAGCTTTGGTGTCCAGATATAGGAACGTTGGTAATCTAAGGTTAAAAGGCGACAGAATGAATTTTTCACCTCTAAAAAATGGGAATACCATCCTACGCCTGTGACGAAAGAAAACCGAACTCTGTCGTCTTCGTAATAACCGATTATCACCACCTCCATATTCAATGCTTAGCAATTTCCCCCTTCAAGAATACTCGATGTACGTCGTTCCTCGATATCATCGATCTCTAGCCACACGGACCCAGCTCTCGGCCATTCCGTCGAATTACACAAATTTACCTCGCACGTGTATCGAGAAATGGCATTCGGCTCGATTTCCGGCTGCGTCGGAAGCGACGTAGCGCACGTTGTGAATGCCCGGGTACATCAGTTGTCCGGGTTCCTGCGCGGAATACACACGCGGGTTAACTTTCGACAAGCCCGCGGAACCGAATCCCCGTTTGAGATTGAAATTCGAACACGCCTCGGCGCCGATATCGCCAGGGGAAACGGAATTATTATCTAAAGTGCGAAGCGCGCCCGATGAGTTTCGTTCCCATCGGCGAGCACAGCTTTATTGGTCGATAACGTCGCGCGCTCCTGACCGCCTGCAATTTCTCCGGTTCAATTCAAAATCAACCCTCCGATTCCTCCATTCTGTTACGACGATTAAATTCCTCGCCTCTTCAATATTTCTTCTCTTCATTTTGTTTCCTTCATCAATGTTACAAATCGAAAACTTTTCACCTGGCCGCCGGGAATTCCGGGCCTCGTGGTGCAATGACGTAGGACAGGTTTTAATCAGACTGTCCTCCAACACGACGCCATTGTGGTAAAATTTAGCAGTTCAAACAGCTTAAAAAGAAATTTCTTTTGTGTGAGCCAATTTCGATTTCGATGATTTTTTAATATGTTGTCAAAATCATCAGCCTGAGTAGTATTATGAAGGTTTTAGGTGGGAGTTGCCCTTTGTAAAAAAGTTATCATAAAAATTTAATACTGTACTGCAGTAGTATTAATAAGTCAAATTACCGATGACTTTGATCTTTGTATATGTTGTCAAGGTCACCCTCTTGAATGACCGTCAGAAAGTTTCAGTTATGAAATGTTATTTACTAACAAGTTATTAAGAGAACAATGATACCTTTTTCGTGAACTGTCTCCAACCAACTTTGAATGACTTTTTTTTCTTGAACTGTGTCTAACCAACTCTGTAGCATCATACTGATCGGAGATGGTTAGAGACAATTCAAGAAAAACAGTAACATTTTTTTATAATAACACCCCAAAACCATAGACGAATTTCTACTTGAAATAGTATAATTGCGACTGATTATTATACTTGAAAAGGAGGAATTTGTTGGAAAATTACTTTGCTAATAGATTATCATCCGAAGAAGACAACTACGACTAATCAGGTGAGTTTTACTAACGGCAACATTCCGAACTTTGCGCTTATTTTTCATAACTTTCCCATCGTCTCCAGGATAAATAATTATACATTTTGGATTCCTTAGGACCTGTAGAAACATATCCTGTAAAAAACTTTCTTTCTTTTTACTATTGTCCTTTATCTAAACTTTTTTTAGGTATCTTCTGTAGTGTACGAGTTACAAGCAAGTGAGTAAAAGAGATGATTCGGATAAAAAGCCTTGTCAGTTAGCAATAAAAAAACATTCCGTGTACATATATTCATACTTTCATGAAAAGTTTGAGAACGCGGTTAGTCAATGATCACGTAATCGAAGAAGACCCCTAGAAGCCGTAAATATTTTCCCATTTTACTTAAAAAAAATTATAAATTTCAAAAATTCTTGATCGCTTGAGCTATATAAACGTATGAGCTGCTAAAGGTTTACTTTAAACCACGTTGCGACGGAAACATTATAGGGTACGTCCGAAAGAATGGTAAAAACAGGCAGAAGGTAATTTTTTATGCAGAAATAAATCACAAGTGTAGAATAAAATTATTTCATTAGTAGCTTAGTTTTTGAGAAAATTGATTTAAAACGCTTGTATTTGTGCTGACAGTAGGCTTGTTGCAGTAGAAACGGAATGCAATGAACAGACGCATTTGACAAATTCTATTTAATTTCACGCGTATCCAGGAGATTTTCAAATTCAATTATCTCGCAAACGAAACTTCGGATGAAAAAATTTTATTCTACACATTTAATTCATTTTTGTATAAAGAATCGCCTCCTATCTGTTTCTACCATCCTCTCATCCCCACCTTATATATTTAGGGAAGTATACGCCTGTTTCATACGTACGGTATTCTTTATGCATTTAATTAATGTTAACGTTAAAATGAACTATTGTAATTTATAGTAGTATAAACTTTGATTAATATATTTTAGATCAGAATGCTTCCAACTCAGAAATTACCGCACAGTTTACTTTGAATAGTATTGTTATTTTTGGAAGTAACGAAAAACCCACTCATCGAGTTTCACAAAAAAACTAGGTCCCAAAGGAAAACTAAATTTACCTGTACGTATTCGTCCACCGACCTCCGTCAACAAATCGAAAATATCCTCTGTAGCAGAGCCAATAATATACGAATATAAATAAAGAATTGTTTTCTAGCAAATAATAAATAAATTATGCTCACGCCTGAAAAAGAGATTTTATGTTTCAGATTGTCGACACATTTGTTATGAAAATGAAATTTCTAATTACCGGTCGCTAATGTATTAATACTTATGGTAAGATTAGCGTGGATATTTGAGGAAGTATTAATGTGTCATAAATGGATTTGTACAACATTTTGGGCGGAATTTTGTGGACGTTCTTTTAATACATCTTCTGTCAGTAATAATCTTTTAAGTAAATTATGTGTAATTTCTGAATTGAATGGATTCTTATTTGAAATATTATATTTGATTAAATGAGTGAGATATTTTATACGTAGCAGGTTGGCGGATAAGTTCTGTGAGTAATTGTAATTAAAAAGGTTCGCGGTTTCAATTTAGGAACGGCCCGCCGGGGGACACGAATTCGATGCAGGTTGAACTGGATTCGTAGAAATTTATTGATTAAATTAATTGGTTAATTGGATTCTCTTATTAGCGCCAAGTGGAACTGTAACAGAAAAAGAATTCTGTGTCACGACGTCACTGTTCCAGAGTAGCCTTGTTAAATTCTCAAAATGGTTTTCTCTAGTTTCTATTATACGGTTCCTACTGGTTCCATGTATATTAAAATCCAATCATTCAAAACAAAGGACTTCCTATAATTAAATTTAAAATATCGTACATGTTTCTATTGTAACGAGTTACTATTTTTGACAGAGAGTATAAAATAAACTGGTTAATATAAACACTACAAGAATTATTTAAAAAATATGGATAAAACAGTAATTACACGTTATGATGAAATGGCTTATAATTCAATTTTTCAGAAATTACTAAGGAAATAACATGCAATAAGATGTATATGTTGAATTTTTAATAAATAATAATTCTACATGTACAGAAAAATTGTTTAATTTTCCCCCTTATTTAACATCTCAAAGGTATGTATCCCCTTAAAGTTTCGGCCACCAGTAACCGAGTATCCTGTATACAAATCTTGTTTTCGTCATTGATAATGAGACTGAGATTTTCGAGACAAACCACGCGCACTGCGTCTATGAAAATATCTATTAAACATGTACTAATGGACACTGTCATTAAATCATTATATCAATATTATTATAAATTTGTTTTACCGGATTTTTATTACTTGCAATATTGAGGCTATTTTAATCGACGTAACAATGTGTAATCGTGTTAAGTTACTGACCGTGTAGACGGAACCAATTACAAGTCCAATTATCACCTATCGGAGCAATTTATATAAAGGTTATCGCACTGTCGTCGCAGATAATAATAAACCTTCGAGTTAATGTTTAAATGCTTCTCATTTATGTATTTGAATGATGTTTAGATTTATGACACCTTCAGAATGCAATAGGCAATTCTAAAAATCTTGAAAAATTTGACACATTAACACACCCGTTAACTTCACTTCTACGTTTGAAATTGCAGGCAGTTAATAATTTGTTCACGGTCAATAGAGATAAATTTTTCTTCAATTCGTATTTCGGTGCTTCTAAAATAAATTACAAACTGAAATTCAAAAACTCATCGATTAGTACCGTCATAAACTGCACATAGGTCTAAAGAAACTATAACAAATACAGTTCACATTATTTCAGTTCTTACCAGGTTCTTGCATAATAGATGCTGCTTTTCAACGCGGTTCATTTGGCCATTCAGGTGGATTTTATTTCGATTAAAAATCTACTTTTTACGTGACATTATAGTAACTCAAACTCTGCAGTTCAAAAGCAACATTTATTACACAATAACCTAATACCTTGTAGTATGAAACTTATTATTATAATGGTGTCTGTAAAGAAAAAAATTAATTTAAACATAAATAAATTGCACTGAAGATATTTAAAATTCAAATCAAGCCATTCATGTCACCGTGATACGAATTTCGGATCATTAAACTGTGGATTTTGTGCTTTTATTGAAAATGTTAATAATTAAAAGAACATTAATGTAACTCAATGAGAGTTTTGCATAGTGGCTGTTGTATTTAATCTCCAGTTTTAAGGTTATTTTACAGAGTACTAAGTACTAAGTCTACAGTTTAGTGATCAAATAATCAGATATTGTACATTCCGCTTTTAAAAGCACAACTGTCCGATGACTTGAGAACGGTGGCGTAGCATCGCAGGTATCGCGAGTTTAAGACCGAATTACTGTTAATCGCCGACAATGTGGCTCCCTGAAAGGTTCTCAAGGTGAAAACACGAGAAAGAAAAAAGAAAATAGAATTGCGTAGAAGGAGTGTAATCCTCTGGCAGTCTCTTCTGTTCAGCTTCTTCTTCTTACCCCTCCGCCAGTCACCAGTTTCGTGCTCGAGGCACGATAGGGTAATTAATGGGGGGTATCTTGGCCAGAGATAACCGCGATATGGCTAAGTTCGATCGTTCGTACGGAAGTTTTAATAAACCTCTTGCAAGAAAGGGGTGGGGGGTGGTGAAGAGGTAAAAAAGAAGGGAGATCAGCCGTTTTTAAGTGGTCGGTGAGAAGATGGTGGGTGGAATAGGGGTGAACGGGGAGGTGAGTTTCAACGGTGAAATAAAGGGACGGGAGCATCATCTTCTCGAGATCAAACGGTCGAAATTTCGTGAAGCGGGGAGGGGAGAACGGAGACACGAGGGCACTGACGAGGATTACACTCGAATTCGATGTCTGCTCACCCTCGTTTTGTAGACCCGCTCGACGGCGACGTTGTCTGTAAACGTTGGTTCCTGCCAGAATATTAAGCGATTTCGTTCGCCGGAGCTTAGCCGCACTTCAAAGGACGTCGGGCACGTCGAAACTTTCGGATTCTCGGTGTCTGGAAATGGTAATATAATCAGCCGGTGAATATGGCAAACAAATTGCAACGTTTTGAAGGGACGGTCAGCAGAGCGGTCACGGTTCGAGACAGATTTAAACCCCTTTGGCACCGCGGACCGGACCGGACCTTCTCTGGTTTTATTTCGCTTACCCGCTTGGGTGGATAGCTCGGTGTAGCTTGTGTAATGTAAGCCCACTCGAGTTTTTAAATTTAACACATGTGTTTCGAGTCGAGAATAACAAAACTCTAGTGGGTTGTATTATAAGTAGACTACAGCTTTCATGTATTAAAGGTGCATTATTTCGTAAACGGTGTAAAAGAAACGGTGTTATTAGAATTTTTTCAAAAGAAAACTATAATACATAAACAGCCGGTCTAGGGTTTATTAATATACATTTTAAGGGGTCATGGTCAAAAAGAAATTTAAAAAAAATCGATTTTTCACTTTCTACATTTTCTTTAAGTACATCTCGAGAATATTCTGTGCAAGTTTCAAGGTAATACAATTAAAAACGACAGAGTTACAGGCGTTAAATAATGAACATTTTATATAAGTGTAAACAACTTTCTATTTGTGTTCAGTTTCCGTAAATAAATCATTAAACATCGATATTTGCATAAACATCCGCAGTCTAATAATGACTTTAGCCGAGTTCCATATCTATTTATGACGAATTTTAATTCACTGTAGAAAATATTCAAGTAGTTTCGCTGTCAAAATAATGCATTATACGTATATGTATATAAGTAGTCTCGTATAGTTTTCACGGTAATATGGTTTCTCTAAACCATTTACAATCATAACTTTTACTGAAATATACATTTGGCTTTGTTTTAAAGTAATCAAGTATAAATACACATATCATTTGTTTTAATTTTTACTAAAAAATGTTTACATGATTTTCCCGTGAAAATAAGTAATGTTTCGTATTGTATATGCAGCAAATTCTAGGACAATATGCAAGTAGTGATCGCTCTTCAGAATCTTCACTAGTGAATCTGTGGAATTAATTATTTTTAATGATATCATCTTCGTCATTATCCACTGACAATTACACCCTCCGTTAATAACAGAGTCGCTCGACGACTAAAATTAAATTACGTGTGAAAATACATGAAAAAGAAGCGTAGACTTAAATGAAATTAATCGCACGATCCATAAAAACCGGCTGTATATGTATAGGTTCTCACGGCTCGCGGAACAAATTGTACACTCGTTCCCAATCAATTTCCAGCGAGTTCAATTGCAATTACAGATATAGCCGGTGACTTTCCAGCAATTCACGGCCGTTGATGCTCGCAGGTTTTATGATTTCTAATTAAACTGGACGCTGGAAACACGCGAAAATCGACCTGTGAATCGCGTTACGGAATGCCTGGGCTAAGGTGCCGTGACACAATTAAAAGTTTCCGAAAGCCGATTTAATAGTTCGACGACATCCTTGATGCCCTTGCTCCAGGTCACGGAAGTTAGCCACGGCCGCTGGACCACCGGACTACCGTAAATATATCACAACGAATTAAATTGAACTATTTCCCTTAATCATGATTCATTTTTAATTAAAAAACTTCATGTCACGGTATCGCGAAAACTTTTCATATATATGATACATGTATTCTATATACCCGTGAATAGAGAGAACGGAATTTTAACTGCGCCCTTAATATCATGCGTAACTTTCGTCAAAGTTAATAAAACGGATTAAGATGACGAAAGTCGAAAGTATGACATACTATTCCTGGTCAAAACCTGTTGGGTCAGAGCAAAAGTTTCGATGGATTTTCTGTGAAAGATATGGTCGAGGTGGTTTTGTGGAGACAATCAATTATTGTGTCAATACATTATGTTTTGATGTCAATGTAACACAGTAAATTGTTGGGCTCCACTATAGAATCAATCCATATGAGTAGAGAAGCCCAACAAGATTCAAAAAATAGAGACCAGACATAATACCTCATCAGAAATATTATCCTTCTTAAACGCTCTCTAACCAACACAGAATCAGCACTTTGTTTTGAAAATAAAAGTAAACACAATATACATACAGAGCATACCACCAGTGGACGTTGGTCTAGATCAGTGTTTCCCAACGTGGGGCCCACGCCCCACAGGGGGGGGGGGGCAATTTGATTGTTAAGGGGGGCAATTCGAAAATGGACTCGACACGAGTTTAACCCTTTCGCTCCGGGCCATTTAAATGCAATGCTTTGAAAAACTAAATATATTAAATAAGCAACTTCAAGGAAGAAATAAAACTCTTGTCGATGCAAAAGCGAAGATATTTGGTTTCATTACCCATATTGAGTTATGTCAGAAACATATTAACAACAAAAACTTTGAACAGTTTCATTGGCTCCAAAAATGTGAAGTAACTGATACCGCTTTACTTATTATTGTCAATCATCTGAATATTCTATCGGCTGATTTAAAAAGAATGATTTTCTGATTTAAAACAAATTGATTTTCCAACATGGATGATGCAGCCAATGTTAGTGGATTTGTCTGATATATCAAATATGCAGTATCAAGAAGAACTCGCAGAATTGCAAAATGATGAGTCAGTTAAAACTTTATTTAATATAAAAGGAGCGATGGCATGGCTTTGTGAGGAAACAGAAATCAAATACCCAAATTCAACCAAATGTGCAAGAAAACTATTGCTACCGTTTCCATCTTCATATTTAGCTGAATGTGGATTTAGTGCTGTAAATGATTTACTGGTAAAAAAAAGAAATCGGCTGGATATAACACAACGTGGAGACTTGAGACTGAAGCTAACCAAATTGGAACCTAATATAATATCTCTGTGCAGCAAGCAACAAGCGCAAGGATCTCACTAAATTAAAATAATAAATTAATATAGAAAAATCTTTATTAAAATTATTTGGAATTTGAATTTCAGTTTTTCATTATATGTTTTGAAAATTTACTTACTGTGTTTCGTTAACAATTTCCTAGTGATTTCTTCCTAAAACCTATCATTTAAGTTTCTTAAGTGAACAATTCAATTTTTTAATATTAAAAATTATGTATGTTACATAGGGGGGGCATAAGAATTTTAGAAAGGCTAAGGTGGGGCATTGCACAAAAAAGGTTGGGAAACACTGGTCTAAATGCTATCTCTCTTAGATAGCATCTCTTTTCTCGTTTAGATTTTAGTGACTTTCACTTTTCTGATACTTTTTTTTCGCTTTACTATTTCCTGTGCAATTTTTCTCTTCAGCGTTTCTCACGGCCTGCGAGCCTGGTTATCGCCATGCACATTTGGTAAGCAGGTTCGGGCGAGACCCAGTCTTCTTACTTCTACATCTACTTTCACGTCGGTTCCTTGGGTTTTCCTAAGAGGATATTGCAGGACCCTATCAAAAAATCTCAAAAAAATTGAGAATACTACTTACGATAATATGTTGCTACTGTGATAAGAGAAATGTGGTGCCCTTAAAACTCCAATAAGAAAAAAATATTTTTCTTCATTTTTGATTTTTCACAACCAGGATACTCAACTAAAAAATCACAAAAAAATCTCCAACACCCGCCCCGATAAATACTATCTATCAGATTTTTTACAGAATTTTTGCGCGTCATTAAAGAGGGAAAATAGAGGAAAACCCAGTAATCCTATTACTACCCTCCTGATCGAGACAGAGGGTTCAAGCTTGGCACAGACTATTTTGTCTTTACTTTTGTCTGTTGTTTTGTCTGTTCGTTTATTTATTGTGAACTCCCTCCTTTTTGAGGGGAGGGGTGTTTGGGTTTGGTGTTCATCAGTAGTATATCTAGGTTGTCTGTTTCGTTGTTATTTGTTTATTGGTTTGTTCGTTTATCGGTTTTGAAATGTCGCTGTGAAGCGGGTGAAGGGAGTTTGAATTTTGTTGGTTGTTGTGTGTGGTCGGTTTCTTCAGATTTTATTGCTGTTGGTGTCACTTCTGTTGTTGATGTTGTTCATTTCGTCGCTTCCTGGTGTTCAATTCGATTCTTCTGCGGTGTCCGTCTGACGTTTGCTATCTGTTTCTACTGTTTCGCTGTTCGATTTCACCCTTCGTTGGTGTAGTCTGTCTGGTTATCGGTTGCCTATTCCCTTTGCGTCGCTTTGCGTCTATTCTCGTGTGCCTATTCGTGACGTTTATTCGTCCTTCGTGCCCCTTGGCCGGTCTATCCCGGCCGAGGTTGACGTTGTGTCTTACCGGTTGCTGACTTTTCGTCTGCTTTCCTGGTGTCGTTCTGTAGGTAGCTGTTTGGTAGTTGTTATTGTTGTCGATGGTTGCCTGCTTCAACTATCACGTTTGGATGAGACCAACAGGTATCCTAATACTTATAAAGAGGGGCTTACTCCATAACAGAATAAGATAGAATAATTATAGGGCAATTTTCCTACGATGTTAATTAAAATTCGTAAAAAATTCGCTTCAATCATTACTGCTTTCAATGGCTCATATATTAACCCTGAAACACCACACTAGTGGAAATTTGCACCAGCGAAATATTGTTTGTTCTTCTTGAAGTTTACCATTTCTTTATAAAACATTTTCATAGTTAAGAAAGTACTTCTTACTTTTGAAATTATTACCACTAAATTTTTAAGAAGATTGTAACCTGTAAAGTATGCTAGGTAGTTGAATCTGCTTTCATTCTCTTCGAGTTCTTAAGTATCAAAGATTCAAAATCCCAATTCGCATCAGTGTAACGTATACGTATGCTGAGGTATGGTTTCTGAGGGTCAAAAACGACTTTTCGATGTTCTGATTGATAATCCATAAAAATTCTGAAAAGTGAACAATGTCTGCTTACAACTTGCCTTCCTAACTTCTCATCAAAGTTTCTATCGCCACTCGGGCGTCCATACCCCCGCCCAATACACTACCTCCCGCGGCACAGTGCCACTTTAATCGTCGTAAGTAGTCCACTGAGAAACTCCAAGCGACAGTTAAATCGTCCCCAACCTCGAGCAATTAAGAATTACCAACGGCCGAGCCGGCCAGTTCGATCAACAGAGGGA